CTACCAAAAAAAAAAAAAAAAAGAAAAAGAAAAAAAACTACCAAATTTTTTACTTTGTACTAACTAGCATTTGCACACTGTTTTTATTAGGTTTATAATTAGATTTTATTTGTATTAGGTTAATATATAGATGTTAGACTTTATATTAGATATTAATGTCATTTAACATATTAAATCAAAACTTTGGAGGCATTTTGTGTAAGAACTGTTTATATTAGCACATACAAACCATGTAGGCTGGTCTTTTGACAAAGCTAAATGGGTTGGCGTAATTTTTGCTTTTAAACAAAATTGCAATTTGGTATATGTAGGTGGTATTTTTAATAGAATAGCTTTAAAAAAAAAGTCTAAACACTAATTGTGCATTATTTTTGGCTCTAGCTGGTGACTCTAACAGCTGATGATAAGACAAGAGTTTCCTTCTCCTCCCTGCGGGGTCAAGGAGTTATTTATAATGTCATCGTTCGGGATCCATTCTTGAATACATCTGCTGCTTATGTTCCTGCTCACACATACGCTTGCAGCTTTGAGGCAGTGGAGGGTAATTGTGCTTCCCTTGGTGAGTGTATGGATTTAAACTTTAACGGATTTTTCTTGGACTTTGCAGATCTGTTTCCACAAATATAGAACTTTAGAACATTCAAAAATGCGTTTTGTTCATTCAGCAAATGGGGTTTGAGCCCTTTCATTTTTCTACTCTCTGTTCTAGGCCCTAGAATATAGCAGTGAACAAACCAGACAAAATAAAAATACTTACATATGTACACACACATATATATATATATATATATCATCTTGCTTATATATCATTATATATTTAGTGGGAGATTCAAGACAAGATAAATTTGTAAAGTATATAATACATGAGAAATTACTAAGAAGAAAAATAAAATTGGAAAGGGCCACATTGGTAGAGGTGAGAAGAAAATCTGAGATAGTACAATATAGGAAGGCCTTGGAGGCAGGAAGCCATGTGCATATCAGGGGATAGAGCCTTCCAGGTAGAGGGAATCGCCAGTACCAAAATCTCTTCCAGAAGACTGCCTGAAGAAAGGCAGTGCGACCGTGATGGGAAAAGAATGAGGAGGGCTCAGTAGAGATGAGGCCAGAGGTGCAGGGCTAGTTGTGTGCCCTTGAAGGTCATAGTAAGTGCTTTGGCTTATATTCAGAAGGAAATGGAAAGATGTTGGGAAAGATGTTTTGAGCAAATAGTGCCACCATCTGACTTTAATGTGATTGCTGGCTCCTTTTGGAGAAAAGACAGGGGCAAGAGCAGAAGTAGTAGAATGAGTTAGGAGGCCACTGAAGTCATCCAGATGAGGGATGGTAGCTTAAGGAGAATTGTGGCAGTGAAGGTATGTGTGACCAGCACGTATGTGTCATCTTGAAACACTTTCTTAGAAAAGGTGCACAGATACTGTAATTTTTGCATAATGTTCACCCTGATTTCTCAAACATTGGTTTCCATGTTGTTCTATTTGTTTCATCCTGTCTTCCTATAAAAAGCATACATATATGTACATTAAATACTTTTCTGAACCATTTGAGAATAAGTTGCAGATAGAAAGACCTTGTACCCCTAAATACTTATATTTATTTCCTTACAGAGCCATAGTAAAATGATCAAAAACACAAAATTAGTATAGATACAATACAGTTATTTAATTTATAGATATTATCAAATTTTACTCATTATCCACTAATGTCCTTTAAAAGACACAAAGTAATTTTTTTCCTGCCCAAAGTCCAGTTCATGACACCACATTGCACTTAATTGCCATGTCTCCTTAGCCTTCTGTAATCTGGAACAGTTTCTTAGCCTATTTTTGTCTTTGAGGACTTGGACCTTTTTTGAAGAGTACAGGATGTTTATTTTTTAGAAAGTCCTCAGTCTGTTACTTTGATGCTTCTTCGTGATTACATTCAGATTATGCATATCTGGCAGAAAGAAAGGGGAAGTGATGTGTCCTTTTCTCTTCATATCTGTCCCATTAATGGTGATAACTTGATCACTTGGTTAGTGACATCTGCCAGTCTTCTCTGCCATAAAGTCACTGTTTTTACCTAAAATATCTTTTGGGGGAGATATTTTTAGTGTTTGTAAATAATCCCATTCTCAAACTCACACTTGCTAGTTTTAGCATCCAGTGGTCTTTGCCTGAAACATTTATTACTAGTCGCTGCCAAATGGCATTTTCCTAATTTCAGTCCAGATTGTCCCAGATTTAACCCATGAGTGGCTAAATGTATTTTTGATATAGGGTTTGATGATGGATTGAGTGAGATGAAGAAAGTGGGGTTAAGGATGACTTCTTAGTAAGTTTTTGGCCTAAGTAATGAGAGAAGGCAAACTGTCTTTCACTGAGATGGGAAAGACTGGGAGTGGTCTTGGGAGAACATACCCAGAATTCAGTTTTGGACATGTGCAGTTTGAGAACACTCTTAACCATTCAAGTGGAGTTGGGCAGCTGACCGTTGGCTATATGTAGCAGCTGGAATTCAGGGAATGGCTGGGCTAGAGATTATCTTGGAAATTATCAGGTTAACTATATGACGTTTAAGACAATAGAATAGATGAGTGAGTATATAGAAAAGGGAAGGGTCTGAGGACTGAGCCCTGGTGGCACAGATGTATGGAGATGAAGAAATTGAAGAAAATCCTGGTGAGGTGGCTGAGAAGGAGCAGCAGGAGTGGTAAATGGAAAGTGATATATTTTTTAAAAAAATTATATATAAAATCTTTTGTTGTTTGTTTATTTTTTATGTGGTTATGGGGATTGAACACAGGACCTCATGCCTGCAAGGCAAGTGCTTCACCACTGAGCTATCTCCCCAGCCCTGATTTTTTGTTTTTATTTAATTAATTTTTGTGGTGCTAAGAATTGAACCCAGGGATTTGGGTCAGTGATCTATTACTGAGTTTTATCCACAGCCCAAAGAGAATGTAATGGTTTTTGTTTTGTTGTTGGTGTTTTGCAACTGGGGGTTGAACCCAGGGACAGTACCATTGAGCTACATCCCTAGCCCTTTTTTTGTTTTGATTTTGAGACAGGATCTTACGAAGTTGCTGAGGCTATGATCCTCCTGCTCCACCTTGTGATCCTCCTGCCCCAGCAACCCAAGTTGCTGGGATCACGGGCATGTCCCACTGTGCCTGGCTGTTTTTTGAAGGTTGTGTTTTTTGAAAGTGTTTCAAGGAAGAGAAAGCAATCAACTATCAGATACTGTAGAGAGGTCAGCTAACAGGCTGAAAATGACCACTGGCTTCAGCAACAAGGAGGACATTAGTGCCTCTGAGAGCTGTTCTAGTGGAGTGCTATAGCTGGAATATGTCCAAGAGCAAAGGGGATGGGAATTGGAGAATGAGTTCAAATAGCTCTTTCGAGGAGTTTTGCTCTGAAGAATAAAGTCTACGAGTTGTGCTTGAGATGGGGATTAGGGTTCCCTTTCTTTGTTGGAGCTGTATCCTTCTGTTAAAGGAGGAAAAAATTTAGTGACACTCATGAAAGCATAGAGAAGAGGAGGGTGTTTTAGTCAGTATAGGGACCATTACAATGGGATTTTGCAGTGGGTGCGGGGAGAGTAGGTTCAGCTCTGAATACAGCATGGGCAAGTAGGAATGTATAGCCAAAGAGCAGGTGGCTGGGGTTGGGTGTGGTCAGTGAGTGAAATGTTACTGAGAGATAAGATGAGAGGTAAAGGGAATTCTGTCTAACTGACCTAAGAGGGTTCTTGCTGAAGGCACGGCAGAGTGATGAGACATCACCTGGGGGATAGTGGAAGATGAGGAACCTGATCAGATATTGAGGGCCATCAGATAACAAATGGGTAGTGGGGACCTGGTTCTTGCTAATCTGATTCATTAGAGTTTTTGCTGAAATTTAATTTTATAAGGAAGGTATTTTACTATGGGCCTATGAGAAAATTCAGGAGCCCAATTAAAGAGTGGTATCACCACTCAGTTTTCTACTGATGCTCATCCTTGAAAGAGAAAATGCAAGAGATCCAGGCAGATGTGTGTTTGCATTTTTCACAGTGAATCATGTCCAGATTCCTTTATTCTTTTCTCTTGAGCCCTTCACATCCATGCCCCTCCTAGTCAGCCAATCTAAAAACAAACAATTAAAAGGGCTTGGGGAGGGCTAGGGTTGTGGCTCAGTGGTAGAGTGCTCGCCTAGTATGCACAAGGCACTGGGTTCGATCCTCAGGACCACATAAATATAAAATAAAGATATTGTGTCAACCTAAAACTGAAAAATAAAAAAAAAGGGCTTGGGGATGTAACTCAAGAGTTGAAGTCCCTGGGTTCACTTCCCTGGGTTCACTCCCCAGCATCCAAAAAGAAGAAAGGGTCTCAGTAAATTGCTTAGGATCTTGCTAAGTTGCTGAGGCTGGCCTGGAACTTGTGATCCTCCTGCGTCAGCCCCCTGAGTTGCTGGGATTACAGGCCTGAGCCTCCATGCCTGGCTTGGTGTGTTTTGATTTGTGGCAGGCTTGTAACATTTTTTTGTATGAGATTATTCTATAGAAGTTTTGTTTTCATTGTTAGTTCAGGGATTACTTTCTTGGGTTTACCTTGAAGGAGTAATGATGATGGGGAATTTGTTTTCTTTTTGGTATCGGGGATTTAACCCAGGGGTGTGCTTAACCACTGAATCATTTCTCCAGCCCTTTTTATTTTGAGTTATGGTCTTGCTAAGTTGCTTAGGGCCTTGCTGAGTTGCTGAGGCTGACTTTGAACTCACTATCCTCCTGCTTCAGACACTGGAATTACAGTCGTGCACCACCATGCCCAGTGATGATGGGGAATTTTGTGAGCACATATTTCTCTTAAATAAGCTTAATCTTTTGCATTGTCATGGCATTCATGTTTACATTTGTACCTATTAAGGATCATGAGATTTAGAGATTCTTTGACAACATGAAGCATATTGTGATTTATTGTTGCCTTTAATACAACATTTTTTCCCCAAGATTGGAAGTGATTAGTACATGTGTGATTTATAGTATCATTAATGTTCTCCTTTTTTTAAATATATATATTTTTAGTTGTAGTTGGGCACTATACCATTATTATTTATTTTTATGTGGTGCTGAGTATCAAACCCAAGGCCTTGCATGTGCTAGGTAAGCACTCTACCACTGAGCCACAATCCCAGCCCACATTAATGTTTTCTTAATATGAGTTTATGTTTAAGTTTTTCATTTTGGAAAACTTCAGTGAGCTTTCATGTATCAATTATTGAGCATAAACAATTTTGACTTGAGGCCATTGTCATGTTTCAGCTGTATTCCTGCTTTCTTCTGTCTCTCTCCTTGCAGTGCTGGGTATTGAACCCAGGAACACTCTTCCACTGAGCTACATCCCAAGACCTTTATATTATTTATTTTGAGATAGGATCTCACTCACTTGTGGAGGCTGTTCTTGAACTTTTGATCCTCCTGCCTCAGCCTCCTGAGTATCTAGGAATATATGCATGTGCCACCATTCCCATTTTCTGTTTATCCTTTATCACTGAATTATTTTAAAGTAAACTCCTGGTCACCATTTTACTCTCTCAATATGTATTATTATTTTTTAAAATAGTACCACCATGGATACGTGTTGTTTAAAAAAAACAATAGAACCATAGGAGCCAGGCATGGTAGTTCATAGCTAAAATTCCCAGCAACTCTGGTGGCTGAGGCAGGAGGATCACAATTTCAAGACCAATTTGAGCAATTTACCAAGACCCTGTCTCAAAACAAAAAGGGCTGGGCTCAGTGGTAGGGTATCCCCTGGGTTCAATCCTCAGTACCACATACATAAATATAACCATAGTATCATAAACGTAATTTTTTTTCTTTTTTTCTTTTTTTTTTTTTTTTTTGGTGGTGCTGGGCATTGAACCCAGGGCCTTAGCAAGCACTCTACCGTCTGAGCTATATCCTCAGCCCCCAACACAATTTTCAATTTAAATACTAAAAATAATCTTTAATAACATCAAATTAACATTCAGAGTTTATATTTCCCCAATAGTATTCCAGTTGTCTTCCACAGGTTAATTCAAACCAGGCTTCATATGTACACTATATTTAGTTGATGTATCTCATAAATATTTTTTTACTCCATAGTTGTACCCCCGCTTTTTCCTTTTAACTATTTATTGAATAAATAGTTATTTTAAGCACATTCTTACTGCTCACCCTACTACAAAGAATATGTCATAGTTAATATTGTATACCTCTATAAGCAAGCATGTAGTCTTCTTTTTTGTTGTAGAGGCACCCATTGATATTGCCTACATAGATTAAGTCATTAAGGGTGGGAAGGATATTTTTAAGATAAATTATACATGTATGAGATCTATCCTTGTCAGTTCACTTCAGTTTTTTTTTCACAGAGCTTTATAATTAAACATAGAATATTAAATTACAATGTGTTATCTACTAAATTTTCATTTTTTTTTTTTTTTTCAGGAAGAGTATCTACCAAAGTGTTCTTTACTCTTTTTGCAATGCTTGGTCTCTTCATTTGTTTCTTTGGACATAGATTCTGGAAAACAGGTATCTTGACCAGTGTAGATACCACTTATGTTCTTTATTGTCTTTGGTTTTCCATGTTGCTGGGGAATTATGAACAGTAAGGAGTGTGAATATGTTTCTCCACTGTTCTCATAGGTTTGTGGCTGGGTTCTTTTGATGCTTCTGTTAAGTTGCTCTGCATTTTTTAAATTTTATTTTTATGATTCTGAGGACTGAACCCAGACCCTTGCTCAGGCTAGCAAGAACTCCACCCCTGAGTTACATTGCCGGTCCTGCATTTTTAACGTTTTCCTTTTCTCTCAAAAGTGGAGTACAACCTCCTCTTCATAAGAGGAGAATAAAGTTTGGCTGGTCTGGTAAACTTCTTTAATTGCTAGGTCTGCTAGTGACTGAAAATAACTGGGATTAGAAATGAGAGTGTGTGCCTAGATTGTGTGGATTGTGGTGATCATGATGGACTTCCTGGGCTCCAGGGCTAGATAGGCCAAAATGCCTGCTCAGTCCTGGGAGGTTTAGCTGCCCAGAGGAGTTTCAGAAATCACAGAGAGAAGCTGTGTGGGAATGGAATGGAAATTAGGCTTACTGAATTGGTTTCAGTTCTTTGGATTGCATTTTATGTAACATTTTCAATTGCCTAAAAAAATTCTTACCAGCAAGCTGATCACTGAGCTTCATGGGGAGAGTGAACACATGATCCTGGTCTAATGAAGCTCTTGAATTTGCTCTGATAGTGTTTGAAATAGCAACTGTTTTGCAACCCCTTTTTCTTGATGGATAAGAGTATTATGAGGAAGACTCAATCCCTCAAACTGTAGAATGATTCTGTGACAAAGAATTAATTGCTAGACTGTGGGCAAAATCCCAAAGGTATTACCAGAGTTTTTATTTTTTCCCCCCTTTTATGTTGATACTTATCCTGTTATACATATTAAAATTAAAATATAGGACAAATATTACCTATAACAACTGAGAAGAATATGAGAAAATAGAGCTCCATCTTCAATCAGGATTAGACTTACTGGTGGGAAACAAAGTTATATCTATGCTTTTGTTTTCAGGTATTTTAGTGGATCAAGGTAAGATGATTTAAAAAAAATAGTAAAGTCACCTTTTCTGTTGGATTACTTTATTTTTCACATATAATTAATTTTTCACGTAATTTCATTTTTGCTTATATAACTGCTGAAATATAGTGTGTAATTTCAGATTAGAAACAAATGACAAAAGTGTTCTTAAGTAGAAAATACAAATGTATTAAAATGAACTATGAAATTGGCCATAATAATTGAAATTGACTTACATACATAAAAGGGTGTTTGGAAGTTAATACCATACTTTAAATATTTTATCCATTTAATAATAAAATTACTCCCGGTGACTTCTCAATTTTTCCTGCCTTTTAGATAATTACTTTTCTTCTTCAAATGCCAAAATGTGTGACTATTCTAGGAGTGTAAGCATGTATTGGTAGATCAGATATTTGAATTGCATTGTAAAAAGAGGACCTAACCATAGCTTGTTGTTTTTTTTTTTTGTTTGTTTGTTTGTTTTGTTGCCTGCTGGTTTGCCACTAGAATTATTCTTCATAGGCTTTATCTTCATGGGATTCTTCTTTTATATATTAGTCACAAGGCTGACACCTGTTAAGTATGATGGTAAGTGAAAATGATAGTTTAATTGGGTGTTCAAAATGGAAACTGCTGAATTGGGCACAGTGGTGCACACCTGTAATCCCAGCTACTCGGCGGGTGCTGAGGCAGTAGGATTGCAAGTTCAAGGCCAAACTCGGCAACTTAGCTAGTTTCTGTCCCCAAAATAAAAAAATATAAAGGACTGGGGATGTAGCCCAGTAGATGGTCCCTGGGTTGAGTCCCCAGTACTGTGGGGGGTGGAGGGAGAGAAACTGCTGTGTTGACACTTCACTTTTCCTTCTGCGGTTGGATTTGTGTGTGATGTCCCCTGGCATGTGTGAAGTAACCCATCTGCCATGTGCCAAGTATCTCACTGCTCAATCAGGCCTTCTCTTCAGGTTTTTAATCTGCATGGCAAATTTCTTGGGACTTGAGGAAATGAAAGGCCATTTTGATTATAAACTTTAAGATACAAAATGTACAACATCAAAATGATAAAATTTTCCTTACCTTAAAGTAAACATTCTTAACCACCCCATCACATTTAACAGAATACTTGTCACCTTCCTCAGTCTGAACTCAATGACAAGCCAAGCCTGTCACCTGCCTTTAAGAGTTAGCATGGTGGTTAGACCCCTCCCTGGAGAGGCCTGCTCCATGCTGGTGTCATGGCACTGCTAAAGGATCAGTAGGGCCTGACCCAGGGAAGGCCGAGGCTGGCTCTGATAATGCTGCTGTGTCTGGGGCATGTGGTTGGAAGTGCTCTTCCTGATTAAACAGTGCATCTTCTTCCTCTGTACAGTTCGCCTGATCCTAACAGCTGTAGCTGGAACCATTGGTGGGATTTTCTTGGTGGCTACATGGTGGCGATTTGGAGTCCTCCTGCTGTGCATGCTGTATGTTGGACTGGTGCTGGGGTTCCTCACTGCCTCAGTGACTTTCTTCACTCCGATGGGTAGGAGATGTGCAGCTGATGTTCTGTTTGGTTCATTGTTTGGAAGACTTTAATTGGGCTCTCTAGACTCAAATATTGCCTTGTCAGGAATTTGGATCCTGGAGTGGTGCTGCCTTTCTCCACTTTTCTTTGAAGAGTTGTGGGAATTTGCACAGATGATGTGGCTCTTTTAGAGAAGGCCTACACAAATAACAATTCCTACGTTCACTGGGCATGGTGGCATGAGCCTGTAATCCCAGAGACTTCGAAAGCTAAGGTAGGAGGATCATAAGTTCAAAGCCAGCCTCAACGACTTAGTGAGATGCTGAGGAACTTAGATCCTGTCTCAAAATTAAAAAAAAAAAAGAGAGACTACTTTCTTAGAGGCACTCTGTACTGGGCGTATCATAGAATGTCTGTAGAGGTGGCTTTGTGCCTGTATATTTCTGTGAGAATAAGTGGAGCCAAAGAGGACTCTTATTATGGCAGAACAGTGATTTATTTTTTTTTAATCTTGGAACTCTTTGTATAGTAAATCCTAAGCAGAAGCCCA